GTTGTTGTACTTTCTCTAAACTTATATTCACCTTTGATCACAACCATATTAGATGTTCCACCCATCTCCTTAGAACTCCCTCAAAAACTCCACAGACCGAAGAATTGTCTTAATAATAGTTCAATAAGTATAATTTGCCAAATTAAAAACCCAAATTCAGCCCACAAGCAAGCTATCATGTTAACCTAAGGTAACAAAAAGGGGCTTCTAGGAACTTTTATATTCCCAGTATTAACTAAAAGTTGGTATTGATAAAGAACGTAAACTCTTCTTAACTTTGCAAAAAGTATAATCAATTTCCATCCATAAAATTGAATGTAGACTTTTACGCAGTATGATGTTATTTTATTTACTAGTGCATACTTAGTAACTAAACCTTGTGTGATTTTAAGAGTGTGTTGGGGTAGGGACATTAGAATTTTGCAAGGTAAGAGAAATCTAAAGAGATGAATAGTTTGTTCAATTTATAATCATATGTAATAGGTCAACATTGACAGAAGTTTTCATAAACATAGTCAAACTTAATCAATTTCTTAACATAATCAATCAAAAGTAAGCGCAAAACCTAGCCTGAAGCAAACCCAAAAATTCTTATGGCATTTAAGTCCTTTAACATAGTCAACCAAAATTGACTGCAAAAACTAGCCTGAAGCAAACCCAAGCAGTTCTTATAATATATATATCCTATTAGCATTATCTTAAAAGACATACTAAGCCAAAAAAAATTAAAAATAATAAGACCTTCAACACCTATATATCAAAAAGGCTACGTGAACTTTGTATTCTAGGAAGACATTGTTAAAGATGTTAATATGTAAGAGAATGTTGCGCTACATCAACCTGAAAGTTGTGCATAAGGAGACTTTCATGAATACAGACTTTGGGTGTTCAACGATTTTAAAATAAAATGCAAAATCAAGGGACAAGAATCATGCCAAGAAGTCCTAAAAAACACCCAATAAGATAGCACAGCTATGTACCCCATGCTAAAGGGAAACAAGAACCAAGTGTCAAACCAGCCTTAGGACGGCAAATAATGGGAATGTTAATAACATTGATAGTGATAAAAACTTGATGACAAATAATAAGCAAACCCAAGCCAAGTTGAGGGTCAAGTCAATGCAACCCTCTCTAATCTAGGCTACATTCTCTATAGCCATACAGCATCCCTAAACAACAGTCTTGATTTAGCAATAGTAAGGCGAGCACCGTATCAAGCTTAGCCAGAAGGGTGTTTGAACTTAAAATACATAAGATGAGTAAAGCTTTTTATGATGACAATTTGAGATTAGATTCAAAAGAGCATTAAAGTTGGATAAACAAGTATTAAGAAAAGTTAAATCAAGTATAATCGAATGTTCTTTTGCTACAAAAACAACTTAAGCCAAATTTAGGTACCAGAACTTCAAGTTCTGAAGTAACAAATCTTATGGGTCGCAAATCTTGAGTTTGAAAGGAACTCAGGGCCACATTAAATGTATAAAGTGTAAGAATCACCTAATATTCACCACCACCTATTGCGTCTTTCTCATCATGCTTGCTCTCCTCTCTATAATTGATTTGATGCAAAAATATCCTCCTCTATTGTCTTAGGCTCAACCTCTTCTTCATCAAATAACCTACTCTAGAACTTTAAATTCTTGCATGTATATAGTATCTCCAACACGAAAGTGCTCAGCTCATCTCATCTCATGTTGACTTATCATTAGCAAAAACTAACCCAACTTTAACATTTTAAGCATTAGCAATCATTTTTAAGATCAAAACAACATGCACACCTCACAACCTAATGCCTAAGTTAAACACTCTCCAAGTCCTGTATTAATAATAGATATGTGATTAATTGTGACCTCACCTCGCTAGAGCACTTCACTCCATAGCAATATTGACAAATAGCATATATTCATTGTTGTCATTCCCAGTGTACATGCTTCTAAAAAATGGCACAAAATGATAAATCCATGAAGCACCATTAATTACATTGTTAGTTTCTCCTCAATTAATAATAATCGACATAGGATTAGTCTGAGTAACTAGTGCAAGTAAACACACCAACAAATGGGACATAAGTTTATATAGGAGTATTCCAATAGGAGATGTTAGAATATAGGCAGATACCAAAATAAGTTTCTGACTTGATCTAATTCTAATATGTGCTATGCACAAGGATAAAATCTTTCTTTATTCTGAAATTGGCATTATCCAGACTAAAACACACATCATGTAGATGGAATTCATTTTATTCATGAGAACAAAGAACTTTAATCAACTCATGGATGAGGATATGTTCGTGGAACTGTCTTTTAAATAGAGACCAATGTCAATAAAGAATAATAACAACAACAACAACATCAAGCCTTTATCCCACTACGTGGGATCAGCTACATGAATCCTTTTTCTCCATTGTGTCCTATTAAAAGTCAAATTCTCGTTTAAATCTAATAAAGAAAGGTCATTCCTAATATTTTCTAACCAAGTCTTTTTAGGTCTACCCCTACCTTTCTTAACATAAGTCAAATCTAATACCTCTACTCTCCTAACCGGGTCATCGCAAGGCCGCCGTTTTATGTGACCAAACCATCTAAGGCGACTTTCTCTAATCTTATCTTCTACTGGCGCTACTCCAACCTTTTCACGTATATGCTCATTTCATATCCTATCTCTAAGGGTAAAGCCACTCATCCACCTGAGCATCCTCATCTCTGCCACACTTAACTTAGTATTATGCTTCTCTTTTAAAGGCCAACATTCGGCACCATAAAGCATTGCAGGCCTCACAACCATCTTATAGAATTTTCCCTTAAGTTTGAGGGGTACATTTCTATCACATAACAAGCCCGATGCATTCCTCCACTTCAACCATCCAACTTGAATTCTGCTGATAATATCCCCATCTATTTCACTATCACTCTGAACAATAGATCCAAGATATCTAAAACGTGTACTCTTATTAATGACTTGATCGCCCAAAGTCACAATCCCCTCACTAGGTCTATTACTACTAAAATTACACTCCATATATTCCGTTTTAGATCTACTCAAGCGAAAACCATTAGACTCTAAGGTTGACCTCCATAATTCAAGTTTACCTTCAACTCCCTCTCTAGTCTTATCAACAAGAAGAATATCATCAGCAAAAAGCATACACCAAGGTACATCCTCTTGCAAATGTCTAGTGAGAACATACATGACTAAAGCAAAAAGATATGGGCTTCAGGCTGATCCTTGATGTAACCCAATCGAAATAGGGAAATACTTGGTTAATCCACCTTGTGTTTGAACACAAGTAATAGCTCCTGCATACATATCTTTAATGATTTGAATATAAGCATAATTTACTCCTTTCTTTTCAAGAACTCTACATAGCACTTCTCTTGAAACTTTATCATATGCTTTTTCTAAATCAATAAATATCATATATAGATCCTCCTTATTTTCTCTATATTTCTCCATCAAACCTCTTAATAAATTTATGGCTTCCATAGTCGACCTACCCGGCATGAATCCAAATTGATTTTGAGAAACATTAGTATCACGCCGCAACCTATGCTCCATAACTCGCTCCCATAGTTTTAAAGTATGACACATTAACTTAATACCTCTATAATTCGCACAATCTTGTGCATCACCTTATTCTTAAAAATATGAATTAACACACTCATTCTCCACTCATCTGGCATCTTCTTAGTCTTCAAAATAGTATTAAAAAGTTTAGTAAGCCATGAAATTCCTTCATCTCCTAAGCATTTCCACACCTCTATTGGAATGCAACTAAAAAAGTAATTAAGAAAGAATATGTTATACTCCTCTCTTGGCAAGCCACAACCTAGTGAATCTAACGATTTAGAGGGTTAATGAAGATAGGCAACCTTAGTTTTGTCTGCCATTAGAGAAGCTGATTGTGATCAGAGATTCATGATCAACAAATAACACTTCAGAATTCTTAAGGTCAATCCCAAGTTACTATTACATCACTTGCTGAGATATTAATTGCAACTACATCTCCAAACCAGAATATCTTATTGCTTATGGTATTTCACAATCATTATCAGAAATGAATGGGAAAATGGTGAAAGGTGTCAAATCAAATACCCTAATAGACAACTATTATCCCGTGCAATGCATCATATCACATATAAGCAATAAAGCATATGATCACATTGAAACAAGATTTAAAATTGCGCAATTAGGTAATGAGACGTTCTTTGATCATGAGACGAGGCATGAGCCTCAAGGTGTTTTGAGGCTTAGCTGGTTTGCTCCATTCGAATGGCAAAAAAATCGCTAATTGGTGGAGGGTGAACGGTGCGACGCCAATATTGGCTTTGCACTATTCACATACGCAATTTTTCTATCTCAACCGGATCTGCCGAAGAAACACGCGAAAGAGGAGAAAAACGGTTACATTCGCCAAAGCGCGCAAAATGGAGTTCGATTGGAGATGAATCACAACATTTTTTAGTTTCACTATATTTTGGAGTGAAAAATGGGATTTTCAGTTGGAGATGCCCTAAGGACGTCTCTAGCCGAACTCCAAACAACTATAAGGCATAGCTAGTTTGCTCCATTTGAACGGCAAAAAATTGCTAATCGGTGGAGGGTGAACATTGCGACGTCAATATTAGCGTTGCACTGTTCAGCTACAAGATTTTTCTGTCTCAACCGGATTTGCCGAAGAAACACGCGAAAGAGGAGAAAGACCGTTACCTTCGTAGAAACGTGCAAAATAGAGTTCGATTGGAGATGAATCACGATATTTTTGAGTTTCACTGTATTTTGGTGTGAAAAATGGGATTTTTGGTTGGAGATGCCCTAAGTCAAACATTTAGATGCCAAATACCATCAAGTCAAAGAATCTACGAACTAAGAAACACAGCCGAGTGATGGGAAAGTAAAAAAGAAAATAAAATGATGAACAAACGTTGAAAACCATGTTAATACCATATATTTAACTATTACTTACCGACAACATGAAACTAAGCAGGCCAACGAGCACAAACCTCATTTGATGGCGAACGCTTCTCCGATTCGTGCCGCACAGCAGGCTGGGCCATTACCGCCGTTGTTTTCTTCGGAAGCAGGTGAGACGAAGATCGATCACGAAACGCGAACTCCGCAGCATCCTGCGCAATCCCACGCCCTAGAGACGCAGCAACCCCTGCCTCTAAAGAGTACGGCTTAAGGGGGGTTTGCGTCTGGCGATCGCCATGCATCACCATTCCGCTGGTGCCGGCAAGCCCCGGCCACCTCTCCATCTGCAACCTCCTTAACTCAATAATGCGTTCCATCGCAATCTCCCTCCTCACTTCCTCCTCCAGAATCCTCCTTTCTACCATCTCCCTCGCTAGGATTTCCTCGCGAATCCGCTCCTTCATGATCTCTCGCTCTATTGCTATCCGGCTTGGGTTGGATAGCGGTAATTTGTTCATAGTGGCGCCTCCAATGAGCCCGGCTGAACGGGAAACAAAGATATCAGGCAACACTGACCTTGACAGAAATTAAAAGGGTTTCAGCCCACTTAGGGGCTGTTTGGTATCGAATTTACAGCGGGATTTAAGTCGGATTTACGCTACATCCAGCCAAACGGTTTTTTGATATCGCTTAAATCCGATGACTGTTAAATCCGAGTAAATCCGCCTAAATCCAACTCCCGTCGTTCGGCGGATTAGGATTTGGCTGAAGAAGAAGCGCGCAAAGAAAGAAAGATGGCTACCTTGGCTACGAGCAAGAGCAAGCTCCCCTAGTCGTGCTTACTTTCAAACCAACAGAGGACGGCAAGGAGGTGTGGTTTCAGATCTGATATGAAGGGAACGTCGCCGAAGGAGCGAAGCAACGAAGGAGCCCAAGAAGTGATTCGTGCAATCTCTACACTGCGAAGCAACGAAGCAGAACAGCAACGATGAAAAATAAAAGATGAATAGCATACCCTAGACGGCTCTAAGCTATTTTGAATTCTCTTAATTAATAGAAATTAAAATATTAATAATTAAGTAAATAATTAGTAGCATAATTAATACATTTAATAAAATATCTCATTTATTTTAATTAAATATTTAATAATCTAATAAATAATTTAAATAATATAATTACCTTAATTAATATAATTTAAAATATTAATTATTAAATATACAATTAATAGCATAAATAATAATAAAATAATTAATGAGTAGTAAAAATTTTAAGTGATTAATGAGATAATTAATAATATAATTTATAATTAAAAATTTAGATTTCGAATTTGTTAAAAAAGATAGGATGTAACTAAAGACTTTTAAAATGGTTTTATTTAATTAGATTAATGAAAATTTGACTCTCAATAGGCGACAATGAAATATGCATGTAGTCAACCCCTTGTATTTGGAAATAACGGCTTGTTATTGTTGTTGTTGTACTTTCTAAACTTATATTTCACCTTTGATCACAACCATATTAGAGTTCCACCATCTCCTTAGAACTCCTCAAAAACTCCACCAGACCGAAGAATTGTCTTAATAATAGTTCAATAAGTATAATTTGCCAATAAACCCAAATTCAGCCCCAAAGAAGCTATCATGTTAACCTAAGGTAACAAAAAGGGGCTTCTAGGAACTCTTTATTATCCCAGTATTAACTAAAAGTTGGTATTGATAAAGAACGTAAACTCTTCTTAACTTTGCAAAAAGTATAATCAATTTCCATCCATAAATTGATGTAGACTTTTACGCAGTATGATGTTATTTTATTTACTAGTGCATTATTAGTAAACTAAACTTGTGTGATTTTAAGAGTGTGTTGGGTGGGACATATAGAATTTTGCAAGGTAGAGAAATCTAAAGAGATGAATAGTGTTGTTCATTTATATATAATGTAATAGGTCACATTGACAGAAGTTTTCATAAACATAGTCAGAACTTAATCAATTTCTTAACATAATCAATCAAAAGTAAGCGCAAAAACCTAGCCTGAAGCAAACCCAAAAATTCTTATGGCATTTAAGTCCTTTAAACATAGTCAACCAAATGACTGCAAAAACTAGCCTGAAGGCAAACCCAAGCAGTTCTTATAATATATATATCCTTATGCATTATCTTAAAGACTAACTAAGCCAAAAAATTAAAAATAATAAGACCTTCAACACCTATATATCAAAAAGGCTACGTGAACTTTGTTATTCTAGGAAGACATTGTTAAAGATGTTAATATGTAAGAGAATGTGTGCGCTACATCAACCTGAAGTTGTGCATAGGAGACTTTCAATGAATTACAGACTTGTGTGTTCAACGATTTTAAAATAAAATGCAAATCAAGGGACAAGAATCATGCCAAGAAGTCCTAAAAAACACCCAATAAGATAGCACAGCTATGTACCCATGCTAAGGGAAAAACAAGAACCAAGTGTCAAACCAGCCTTAGGACGGCAAATAAGGGAATGTTATATAACATGATTGAGTGATAAAAACTAGATGACAAATAATAAGCAACCCAAGCCAAGTTGAGGGTCAAGTCAATGCAACCCTCTCTAATCTAGGTTACATTCTCTATAGCCAATAGCATCCCTAAACAACAGTCTTGATTTAGCAATAGTAAGGCGAGCACCGTATCAGCTTAGCCAGAAGGGGTGTTTGAATTAAAATACATAAGATGAGTAAAAGCTTTTTGATGAACAATTTGAGATTAGATTCAAAAGAGCATTAAGTTGGAAAAACAAGTATTAAGAAAGTTAAATCAAGTATATCGAATGTCTTTTGCTACAAAACAACTTAAGCCAATTTAGGTACCAGAACTTCAAGTTCTGAAGTAACAATCTTATGGGTCGCAAATCTGAGTTTGAAAGGAACTCAGGCCACATTAAATGTATAAAGTGTAGAATCACCTAATTTCACCACCACCTATTGCCGTCTTTCTCCATTCATGCTTGCTCTTCCTCTTCTATAATTGATTTGATGCAAAAATATTCTCCTCTATTGTCTTAGGCTCAACCTCTTCTTCATCAAATAACCTACTCTAGAACTTTAAATTCTTGCATGTAATTAGTATCTCCAACACGGAAAGTGCTCAGCTCATCTCATCTTCATGTTGATTATCATTAGCAAAAACACCAACTTTACATTTTAAGCATTGCAATCATTTTTAAGATCAAAACAACATTCACACCTCACACCTAATGCCTAAGTTAAACACTCTCCAAGTCCTGTATTAATAATAGATATGTGATTGAATTGTGACCTCACCTCGCTAGGCACTTCCTCCATATGCAATATTGACAATAGCATATATTTCATTGTGTCATTCCCAGTGTACATGCTTCTAAAAAATGGCACAAAAATGATAAATCATGAAGCACCATTAATTACATTGTTAGTTCTCCTCAATTAATAATAATCGACTAGGAATTAGTCTGAGTAACTAGTGCAAGTAAACACACCAACAAATGAGGACATAGTTTATATAGGAGTATTCCAATAGGAGATGTTAGAATATAGGCAGATACCAAAAATAAGTTTCTGACTTGATCTAATTCTAATATCTGCTATGCACAAGGATAAAATCTTTTCTTTATTCTGAAATTGGCATTATCCAGAGCTAAAACACACATCATGTAGATGGAATTCATTTTATTCATGAGAACAAAGAACTTTAATCAACTTCAGGATGAGGATATGTTCGTGGAACTGTCTTTTAAATAGAGACCAATGTCAATAAGAATAACAACAACAACAACAACATCAGCCTTTATCCACTACGTGGGATCAGCTACATGAATCCTTTTCTCCATTGTGTCCTATTAAAAGTCAAATTCTCGTTTAAATCTAATAAAGAAAGGTCATCTCTAATATTTTCTAACCAAGTCTTTTTAGGTCTTACCCCTAACCTTTTCTTAACATAAGTCAAATCTAATTACCTCTACTCTCACAACCGGGTCATCGCAAAGGCCGCCTTTTATGTGACCAACCATCTAAGGCGACTTTCTCTAATTTATCTTCTACTGGCGCTACTCCACCTTTTCACGTTATGCTCATTTCATATCCTATCTCTAAGGGTAAAGCCCATCATCACCTGAGCATCCTCATCTCTGCCACACTCTAACTTAGTATTATGCTTCTCTTTAAAGGCCAACATTCGGCCCATAAAGCATTGCAGGGCCTCACAACCATCTTATAGAATTTTCCCTTAAGTTTGAGGGGTACATTTCTATCACATAACAAGCCCGATGCATTCTCCACTTCAACCATCCAACTGAATTCTGCTGATAATATCCCCATTCATTCACATCACTCTGAACAATAGACCAAATATCTAAAACGTGTACTCTATAAGACTTGATCGCCCAAAGTCACAATCCCTCACTAGGTCTATTACTACTAAAATTACACTCCATATATTCCGTTTTAGATCTACTCAAGCGAAAACCTTTAGACTCTAAGGTTGACCTCCATAATTCAAAGTTTACCTTCAACTCCCTCTCTAGTCTTATCAACAAGAAGAATATCATCAGCAAAAAGCATACACCCAAGGGTACATCCTCTTAAATGTTCTAGTGAGAACATACATGACTAAAGCAAAAAAGATATGGGCTTCAGGCTGATCCTATGTAACCCAATCGAAATAGGAAATTCTTGGTCAATCACCTTGTGTTTGAACACAAAGTAATAGCTCCTGCATACATATCTTTAATGATTTGAATATAAGCATAATTTACTCCTTTCTTTTCAAAGAACTCACATGCATTCTCTTGAAACTTATCATATGCTTTTTCTAAATCCAATAAATATCATATATAGATTCCTTTCTTATTTTCTCTATTTTTCTCCATCAAACCTACCCGCATGAATCCAAATTGATTTTGAGAAACATTAGTATCACGCCGCAACTATGCTCCATAACTCGCTCCCATAGTTTTAAAGTATGACACATAACTATTAATACCTCTATTAATTCGCACAATCTTGTGCATCGCCTTATTCTTAAAAAATAGGAATTAACACACTCATTCTCCACTCATTCTGGCATCTTCTTAGTCTTTCAAAATAGTATTAAAAAGTTAGTAAGCATGAAATTCCTTCATCTCCTAAGGCATTTCCACACCTCTATTGGAATGCAACTAAAAAAGTAATTAAGAAAGAATGTTTATACTCCTCTCTTGGCAAGCCACAACCTAGTGAATCTAACGATTTAGAGGGTTAATGAAGATAGGCAACCTTAGTTTTGTCTGCCATTAGAGAAGCTGATTTGTGATCAGAGATTCATGGATCAACAAATAACACTTCGAATTCTTAAAGTCAATCCCAAGTTACTATTACATCAACTTGCTGAGATATTAATTGCAACTACATCTCCAAAACCAGAATATCTTATTGCTTTATGGTATTTCACAATCATTATCAGAAATGAATGGGAAAATGGTGAAATGTGTCAAATCAAATGCCCTAATAGACAACTATTATCCGTGCAATGCATCATATCACATATAAGCAATAAAGCATATGATCACATTTGAAACAAGATTTAAAATTGCGCAATTAGGTAATTGAGACGAGGGCATGAGCTCAGGTGTTTTGAGGCTTAGCTGGTTTGCTCCATTCGATTGGCAAAAAAATCGGCTAATTGGTGGAGAGTGTGAACGGCTGCGACCGCCAATATGGCTTTTTGCACTATTTCACATACGCAATTTTCTATCTCAACCGGATCTGCGAAGAAACACGCGAAAGGAGGAGAAAAACGGTTACATTCGCCAAGCGCGCAAAATGGAGTTTCGATTGGAGATGAATCACAACATTTTTTAGTTTCACTATATTTTGGAGTGAAAAATGGGATTTTCAGTTGGAGATGCCCTAAGGACGTCTCTAGCCGAACTCCAAACAACTATAAGGCGTAGCTTAGTTGCTCCATTCGAACGGCAAAAATTGCTAATCGGGGAGGGTGAACATTGCGACGTCAATA